AGATGTATTCATTGTTGATTACTTCCATACAGAGAATATTCCTCTATTTTTTCCTATCAAATATATTCTAAATATAAACACAATGTGGCTTCTGTGCGGTAAGCGTTTAGTCCCAATGTCTTATAATTCACACTTGCATGCGTACACAGTCAAGGTTGATCCTCAGTGGAGTGTAATCAAACCAGGACAAGAAATGGCCTTTAAGTCCCTCCACATGTACCATATTGATGATAAGTTGTATGTCATTCTTAGAAACATTTGAGAAGAGAAGTGAGTCATCAAATGAAAGTTATTTAAAAAAAAAAAAAGTGTTCACATTGTAATACATTAGTGTAAAAGTAAAACGCTGTTTAATGGATTGTAATTCTGAAATTCTGCATTGATACAATTGCCAATTTTTGTGATGTCTTGTGTAATGTGTCAATACTGCCAAACATTGTATGATTTGAAAATATATAAATTGAAAATATTAAAATCTAAATGTCATTGATAAATTGTGTAATGAATGTCAAATTTAATAAATGTGGTAAGACATTATTTTTGACTGTTCCACATGCTTTATTGAGTACAAATTTGCCATCATAAGGTACAAAGGGCTTGTCACTGGGGCAGTCCCCTCAAAAGGCCAAATTTGTCCCATTTCTAAAGGTCCATTTAGGTACCATAACATTTAGGTCCATATTTGTCCCCAGGGGTACAGATTTGCTCACATAAGGTACAAACTGTAAAGGTACCAATATGTACCCATGTTTAGGGGTACAATGGGTGTACCTTTGCGGGTACTGCCCCAGTGACAAGCTGTTGGACCCCTAAAGGTACACATTTAGCACATCATTTCTAACAGTGTATGTAGCTGATTCAATCAATAATCTATAATCAATAAACAGTGTGTAAACTATATTCTATATGTACAATCAATAATCTATAATCAATAACTGTACACTACATTAAGTCCTCCTCTGTCTCACACTGTTTCTGCAGGTATTTCTGTGGTTCTGGATCTGAGTCCAAACTAGCAGGGATCATCTGGACCCTGGTTCTCCAACATCAGTGTGACCAACGTAGCTGAGAGACTGAAGGTGAATCCTGGCACTCACAAACAGCAAGTACAGTATAGCTGGAAGTATGGAAGCCAGAGGGTTGTGGAGGCAGACAGGTGAGGCAGAGATACTGTGTGAGCTGGACAGGTGTGTGCAGGTGTTATCCAAACAGTTTCAACCACTTAGACCATTTAAAAGTCCAAAAGTCAAACATTTTTGAAAATAAATGTTTGTTATATTTCCATTACCACAATAACAAAAAAAAAACTCTCTTATGAAGTGTGTCATGGTGAACTAAAGACTTCCTGTTTACATCCCCTGTTTACAAGGCATCATGGGAAATGTTGCAGAACATGATTTCACCATAAATAGACATAAAACAAATAATAATTACAGGAGTGAATTAAATCTTTATAACGAGTTGCACTTCAAATTTCATCATCAAAAACCTGAGCCGACAGCAGAGGGCGCTGTTGTGATGTCTTACTGCTCTCTCTGTCCTCAGTCTGCTCTGGTGTTCTGGCTGAATGAAGGCGTGGATGGCGTGCAGTTGTCGGGGGTGGAGCGGGTGGCCAGCGTGGTGCCTTCTCTGTGGACCGACATTCGAGCCATAATACAGAATGGGACGAGTCCCAAAAAGAGGTTGGAAACCAAACTGTCCAACTCTTAACTGGGACCAGGTCCACAGCTCATCAAACCTCTCAAACCTGAGAGTCAACAATGACCTAAAATCTGGATTTCATGAATTTGTTTTCCAGAGTCCTGATCGGTGTCACAGAGCGCTCCTCCGCTGAAGACGTGTCCGCCCTCCTCAACTCCACCGGTGTCGACCTGCTGATCTCTAGGGTCCTCCTCCACAACAACAAGGAGCACGCTCAGTCCGTCCAGCTCCTGTATTCGTCCCACATCCAGACCAAGCTGGCCTGGAGCCTGGGGGGGAGGGCAGAGGGTCACCTGGCGTCGCTGGTGGGTCCGGCTCAGGTCAAACAGCACCAGCTGCTGCTGCTCACGCTGCCCGGGACGCCCGTCATCAACTACGGAGACGAGATCGGCCTGATGGACGAGGTGAGTCCCCATAATTCCTCAGAGACAGATTTTATATTATTAAAGTTTGGAGGTTTTCAGCATCTTTCAAACGATGTGGAAAGAAAAACACAATAATAGATTGCTCCCTGCTGCAGTGTCACTCTTAATACTAAAACAATCACTAGATGGCGCCAACGGACTCCTACACACAGTGAAGACCAACAACAATAAATTTGATTGAATTTAAATAAAAACAACACATAAAAAGTAAATGACAACCACATTAACCCCCCACCCAGGAGGGCTGGATTAAGTGACTGTGGGCCCCAACTGAGTAACTAGTGAGTGTTAAATGAGAGCAGAAAATGGAAATACTCTCTTATAGTATTATAAAATAACTACTGAAGTACTACATTATAATAATACAAATAATAATCATAATGATAATAATAATAGTACAGTGCAATACTTGAGTAAATGTACTTATATTCCACCACTGTATCTAAGCACAATAAAAAATAAAATGATGTGTTTTAAGGTAGATCCTCCCTGAATGATCAGATAATAATAATGATCTTCACATTTGATCCTCTCTGTTAAAGGGCACCAAGTTTCCCAGAATGCTTTGGGACTCTGATGAGGAGCTGAATGGGACTCTGCAGGTAAACAGACATCATCCATAAACTACTAAGATACTTCATGTTACTGCGTGTACATATAGTACTACAGTGGTATAGTATCTGTATATATTGGTACTGGTATAACTGTGTATTGATCCTCTCCTCTCTGCGTTCAGGAGGAGAGAGCCGAGCGGTTGTCCTGTCGCAGTTTTTTCCGCAGTCTGAGTGAGCTTCGTGGTAAAGAGCGCTCCCTGCTGTTCGGAGACTTCTTCCTCCTCACTAACTCCTCCTCTTCCTCCGTGGCGTACCTGCGGCTCTGGGATCAGAGCGAGCGTTACCTGGCCGCCTTCAATTGGGCGGAGGAGGCGGCGGTGCTGCAGCTAACAGATGCGCTGCTGCCCCGGCACGCTGTGGTCGTCCACAGCACCAACAGCAGCGCCCTGCCTGCCGACAAAAGTGTGGATCTGACATACCTGCGGCTCGGCCCCGGACAGGCTGCGCTCCTCAGGTTTCCCTACACTGGATAGAGTTTGGATCCTGTTATCAGCTGTTATCTTCTGAAAACATGATGATTAAAGCCTCATTTAGACACCACAAGTTAAAAT